TTACCATTCCTCATCTGATTATTCCAATCCAATCCTTGGAATGTTTCACCCTCTTTAAGCTCTATRTAGCTATTCAATGATATCTGAGTGTAAGCCTTAGAAAATCTTGGATTTTGCTTAAGAACAGATGTGTGTGCCAGGCACAATGGTGCATGCCTGTAATCTTAGAGACTTGGGAGGCTGAGACAGGAGGATCCAAGTTTGAGGCCACCCTTAGCAACTTAGCAAGACCCTCAGCAACTTAGTGAAACCCTGTCTCAAAATACAAAATAAAAAAAGGCCTGAGGATATAGCTCAATGATAAAGTGCCCCTGGGTTAGACCCTAGTACCAAAAATGATAATAATAATTATTATTATTAATAAATAATATTATTAATAACTGTTAATCAATATTATTATTATTACTGAARTTGTTACTGACAAGTGACATTTTGGTTGAAATATAATACCCATCTGGCCCAATCTTCCCTCTAAGGAAAGAGACTCATCTTGATACAGATCTCTGTTTCCACTGAGCCCTACTTTAAACCACATGGATTTTTACTACTTTGATCAATAAAAAGTGGGGTGAAAAGAAGCATGATTTTCTTTCATACAAAGGCATGCACATATACAGTGAATGTGAATGATATGCATATATGTGTATAATACAATCTTCCCCCTCATTCAACTGACCCAAACATATTAATTGAAAGGAGGAAGCAGAACTTTAATTTCTAAGTTTTGTTACCTTTTGGAGACCCTAAAGATGGGCAAAAACATGCACAAACAATATTTATCCTTTTTTTCCCACAGCTAAAAGACAGCAATCTATTATTTCTTACAACTTCATGTGAATCAACAATAATCCCTTGATTCTAATGTATGAAATATGATAGGTCAAGAGCTTTGTAATGTTGTGAACAACCAATAAAAAAAAATCAACAATAATCTTAATAAAAATTCAATTTTAAATACAGTCGCTATGCCACTGTGTCATCACATCCCTTGAGAAATATTAAGACTSAGTATATAAATTCATGTGCATTAATGATATGATTTATATATACTGTGAACCATATAAGAGGAGTGAAAATGATTTATCAGGTTAAATTATAAAAGCTACAAACACTAAATCAAAGGTATAGTCTTAATTCAAATTGGAGTTTTCTAATTTATGTCTGACATTAGCTTAGTACAATATATATGTATTAATTATATATAAGTATATGTGTGTGTGTGTATGTAATTTATCTTTAGCATCAAAAAATTTTGACAAATGTTGCTGACTCAGTCAATCCAATAAGCTTAAGATAGTTCCTGCCTTCAAGGGAATACAATATTATTGAAAAGAACAGAAAATTAATAGTGAAATGTACACCACATAAGTAGGTTCCAAGTAAATTCTACAAATCTAAGAACCATTGGTAAAAATCTGTGTGTGTGTGTCTATATATATATTCAATTTGAAATACACACACACACATACATACATACATACATACATATCAGTGGTAAACATATGTATATAAATGAATATGACATTTATACATATATACATAAATACATTATATTTAAAAGCATGCAGTGTACCCACACATAATACCACACTCAAATTTGGCCTGGTTTTCCAGCTAGGCCCAAAGATAATATCTGCTTTCCTTTAAGGACCAAGCTTGTAGGAGCACCAGAAGTCCAGAAAAATTGACCTGTTCATTCAGCAAGCACATATATGGTGTTAACTAGGTGTTTAAGATTAACTCCTGCAGCCACTTCYATTCTCCTGATCTACGAATGGAGAAGCAGAGGCCCAGAGCACTGGCCCTGGCACCTGGTGGACTAGAGATGTGAATGCAGGTGTTCTGGCTCTGGAGTCCGCACTTAATTGGGCTGCACTGGCTGTCCCTGATCTGGAGGCCAAGCACAGGGAGACAGGGGACTTAGGCTAGAAAACTGGCCCAAAGCCCCAGGTAGCACAGTGGAAAGTGCGGAGGCCCTGGGTTACCTCAACTCTGCTCTCCCTGAAGGTGACAGGCAAGTTCATCTCTGTAAAGAGTTTGTGGCCACCTTGTTGGTCACTATGTGAAGGGTAAGTTACTGAGATCACCCAAGGGAAGGCACACTAAATGCATCTCCTGAATCTAAGCCTTCACCAGGCCAGGGACCCTTCCTAAAAACCTGTATTTCATCTCATCCCACTTGGTCACTTAGGCTAAGAAAATGTAGCTGGGCGCAGTGTCACCTGTAATCCCAGCAGCTCAGGAGGCTGAGACAGGAGGATCTCAAGTTCAAAGCACTAGGTAGCTCAGCGAGACCCTGTCTCTAAATAAAATACAAAATAGGGCTGGGATGTGGCTCAGTGGTCGAATGCCC